ACCTCTCTCGCTTGCTCTCTCTCTCTCACTCTCTGCTGCTTCTGCCGTCACATCTCTATCTCTGACTCTGATTCTGACCCTCCTGCTTCCCTCTTATAAGGACCTGTGTGTTACATTGGAACTGCCCAGATAATCCAGGATAATCTCCCCATTCCAAGATCCTCAATCACACTTACAAGCTCTACATGCAAAATATATTCACCCCTCCTCAACATTCGAATAGTCTCAACCCTTCATACCACCATACCAGGAGATTTGGGATGGGCCATGTAATTCCCTGAAAATAGACTTTTGACCCCACTGGTTGTCATCAACTCCTGTTACTGAAAGGAATCTTGCACTGTCCTGTTCTTTCCTGGGGCCCTGGTACCTGCAGTCTTAGAATTTGCTGCCAGTTTCGACGGTGAAAAATTGCTTCAAAACAAGAGCCAATCTGTAGCCTCTAGTCACTCAGGAGTCTCACATAGATTTTGTTTTGTTATTCTTTGATGGTCACTAGAATTTGTTTCCTTCTCGTTTCTGTAGTCTCTCTAGCATTGATTTCTGAAAGAAGCCAGCAGCCTGTGCTAGTTCACCATCTTGACAGAAACTGGAGGCCATAGGGGAAATGAGCATGAAAATGGTCCTGAAGCTAAGTGAGCAGTAACCACAGGAACAGAAACAGAGTCGAAGAAGCAGAAAGAACTTCAGCTTATCCATCCAAAGGCACATCAGTAGGAGGGTGTACAAACACAAAATGAGAAAATACAGTAAACAGAAAGGCTTGAAAATAACAGAGAAGATATCTAGTATAACAGTAATAAAAATACCTCAGTAAATAAAATATTGAGACTCACAGATTGGATTTTTGAAAAAGACCCACAGCATAGTGTCTATAAAAGACTATCAAAACAAAAGATGCCCAAAATGTTTTTTCAAAAAAAGTTGGAAAAATGTTTGGACAAATTTGAACCAAAAAAAAATTAGTCTATCAATCTTAATCTATGGCAAAACGGAACTGAAAGCAAAAAATAAAGTGATAAGAAACGGTGGTAGATAGAAATCTTAAAAAAAAAAAAAAAAAAAAAAGAACCAAGATATCCCCTCAGGGATACACTCTCTGTATCATCTCCTCCCCTTGATTGTGGGTGGGACATAGAAATATAACGGAATGTCATTGCTGGGATTAAGTCAGGTTATAGGGCACAGGTGACACTATTTCGTAGATGTAATTCAAGTCTCCAATCCGTTGCTCTGAGAAAATATAAAGGCATATTTCCCTGCATGGACCTTACCTAACCAGTGAGTCCTTAAAGGAGAATCTAGAGAAGAGTTCTACTTTCAGGATGACAGAGTGGGGAACTCCATGGACCCATTCACCCAAGAAAATGCAGGAAACCCAGACTATAAAAAACAATCTTGAAAAAGAACAAAGTTGGAAGACTCATACTTTCCAGTCTCAAAACTTACTATAAAGCTACAGTCATCAAAATGATATGGTACCAACATAAGGTTATATAGAGAGATCAATGGAATAGAATTGAGAATCCTAAAGTAAACTCATATGAGCTTGGAGGAGGACCCCAAGCCTCAGACGAGTCCACAGTCTTGACTGACGACTTGATTTCAGCATTATGAGACTCTGATCACAGGACCCAGATAAGTCTGACCCACAGAAACTGAGAAACTCAAATAATAAATAGATGTTTTAATCTTCTAATGTTGTGGATATTTGTTATATAGCATAGAAAACTAATACAGGAACAAAAATAAACAAAGGAAAAAATAGGACAAGAAAACACAGTCATCAAAACATTTATATATCATCATTGCAGTCTAACAAATATCTAGCAAAAAATAAGAGAACTGCAGGAAAAAAAAGATAAGTGACCAACATTTTATTTGATAGTTCTGAAGCCAAAAATTTTTAAGTCAAGAAGACAAAAAATAAGCAGAGAGGAAAAGACTTCAAGAGTACTCTAAAAATGTTTAGTATAAAATGCCACGCCCCACATTAAAAATTATAAAATTAAGGACTTTTGATCCACAGAAGACATAAAAGTCAATAGATAAATGACAGTGTAGGCAAAGACATTGGCCATGTCTGAATTAATACGTAGAACAGAAAATCAGTGTGAAGATAAACCTCATAGCCAATAGAACGTCCTGTGTTTCTCAAAATCTGTTTTGAAGGACCAGCCTTTTTTGACATTTCCAATCAATTACAGACTGTATTTTTAAAATATAGAAAATATAAAATATATTTTATATTTTAAAATAAATTTTAAAATATAGAACTAATTTGAGGTTATGTATGATTTAGACGGCATTTTAGATTTTTCTAGCAATGCACAGGATGTAAGCCTGGGACATGTCTGTGTAAAATATAGACCATTGCAGAGAAAATGGGTATCATCATTTAAAAAGCAGCAGAACTCTTCAAGTGGGGTGCTGCCAGGAGGCTGGAAGAGGAATGGGAGGAGGCCATTCAGGGTCTGTGGAGCTCAGAGAGCAGATGGGGCAAAAGATGAGTATGGCATGGCTGGAGACCAGACAAGGGGTTCTTCGTGACAGATAGATTTGTTGCTTTGATCTGCTGATTGCATTCCTGTGCTAACAGGAGAAAGGAAATAAATAATAGCAGATTTGTAGTGGGTGATTTTGTTTTGAAAAAAAATAACATTTGGGAAACATCAGAAAAAGGAGATAAGTGGCAGTTGCAAGTGTTCCTAAGCCTTTGATTTGTTCTTTACTGAATGCCTGTGGATCCGTGTGGTTGGAAACTCAAGAGTTAGAAGGGCAGTTGGTGATATGGGTAGTGGACTCGTTTGGCCCTGAGTTCAATTTCAGAAAATCCCAGTAATTAACCACAAGAGTAGCTCAGTGCCCTAATATGAAGATGGGGAGGGGGCTGTGGTGAGGGTTAAAGGAGATGATTTCAGTGACACATATTTTACAGTGTCAGGTGTGTGGGGACATAGCTCTCCTGTCTTTCTCTTCAGACTCCCTCACTCCAATGCTGAGGTTTCAATTAAGTCCTAATTTTAGGAGGGGTCTCAGCAAACGCATTCCAAAGAGCCCTGCTGCTTCAAAACATGCCACCCGATAAGATGTAGAAAACATTCGGGGTTTGACAGAGATCTAGAATTTAGAAATATATGTCAATTTTGTGTACTATAACTTTCAAATAAATTTTTACTTCCTACTTATTCAGGCCACTTAATGACTGAGCCAAATCCAGAGAGATTTCTCCAGGACACAAGACAGACTCGTGGATTCTTCTGGCTGATCTTGGATATTGACACATTATTCAAAACTCTACTAATTTGAGGTCATGATATAACTAACAAGAGTGGCAGGCACAAAATTTACTAACCCTATCAAAGCTGCTTACGTAGCTCATGACTACTGGACACCATCAACTCAGTGAAATCTGCAATGGGGCCATGTTTTTAATTTCTGTGAGAGCCGGAACTAAAGAATACAGGCCATGGACAAAATACTAAACTGCAGTAAACACAATTTCTAAAATGTTGGAGTACCTTAAAGAACCACTTCACAGCCATGGCCCCAAGCACTGAACACCTGAGGACTTCATGTATTTCCGATTTAGGCCCAAATTTTCTGTTGCTCTACAAATAGAGGTGATGCTTGATCCCTAAGAGAAATATAAAATGAAACCAGTGGGATTTTGTGTGGCTCAAGGTAGAAAACAACTGGCATATTGTGAAAAAGAGCAGGATGCCAGGCCTTCCTTGTGAACTTGGAATTGAAGGTAAAGGTGCATCCATCAGTGAGCAATGCTGACCAGAGCTCAGGGAGGGTGTGGTTGTGCTTGTCCGGAACAGTAGGCCTGGGGTCCATAAACAAGGGCTCCACCCCTCCCCACCTGAGTGCTCTCAAAGCCAAGGGCCAGCAACAGATTGGTTTTGCTAACCACGCAGACACACCTTTGGTAATATAAATATGCCCTATCAAATTGTGGAAGCATGTTGCCCACAAATCCTGCACAGAAATTGGCTGAAGGACCAAAGCTGCCCCATCTTTTTGCCATGACAGATGGAGCTACCCAAAGCTGTTTCTGAAAATTCTGTCCCATAAGCCCTTATGGCAAATTCATGCAAATGAGCCAGCCAGGAAAAAGGCAGACTTCTTACCAAGAAATATTCATTCAAATCACCCCCCAAACCAAGGATGGAGGAGTAAAGACTCCCTAGCCCTTCTGTTCGGAAAGACTCCTCCAGAAACTGTTGCACTGTCTCTTTGTCCAACGCAGGTCCGCCCACCACACGATCCCCTCATCTCTCTGCCCCTCCAAGGTTGATCCCCCACCAAGACCCCAGCAGAGAGGCGTGCTCATCAGGATGGGTGTCTGTCACCACAGTGCTTCTCCCAGGGGCAGTGAGGGATGCTGACAGCTATGAAGCCCTGGCTGGGTCCTAGATGGGTAACACAGGTATCAGGATCAGGTGGGGGCATGCAGACTGGAGCTGCCATCTTCTGAGCCCTGGAGAAGACATCGTTGTGATTCATGCAGCCCTCGGTGTCTGCAGAGGGCAGAGCCTCCTGTCAGCTTCAGTGACCTCCTCTGACCCCTGGGTCTGGGCCCGACCCCTCTGCTGAAGGGCCACACACTGTGAGCCTGTCCTTGAGATGGAAACAGAGGGGACACATGTGGCTAACAAAATGTTCTGCATTCTTTTGAGTAGATAGATGAGAGCATAGAGAAACTGGAGAAGGAAGAAAGGAAGGAAGGAAGGAAGGAAGGAAGAGAGGGAGGGAGGGAGGGAGAGAGGGAGGGAGGGAGGGAGGGAATAGAAGAATTAATGGGTGGACGAATGAGCACACAAACCAACTGGTGGGAACCTTACAGTAACTGCCTCAAATCAACCAGGGAGTTTGATTTATTTAACACTCTACACCTGCAACCAAAGTAATAATGATGATAATAAATTCGCCATTGCTTATCAATGGCTTATAAACAATATAGGAGAGAGAAAACTGCTCAGGGACTCAGAAAGTGCTTTGAAATGCCTTTAATTCTGCCAGGCTGCACAGATCTAGGACTACAGACTGTCACACTCTGGAGGAAGAGGGGACTTCTGCTGCAAAAAACCATGGGCTCTGTCACCACCTTCTCTCCACACAGGTGCTGTTCAGGAGGGTGAACTGGGAAAACCAAGATCGAACATCTACTATAAAAGTGCAGCGCACCTGAAAAAAAAAATTGTAAGACTCAAATTAGAAAATGTAAGCATTGAGAGCATCTAGCATGCAATAGGGTGTTAAGATGTATTAAACAATACAAAAATAAATCAATAAAAAGCAAAAACAGTCACCCAGGAACAGGGCTTGAAATGCCTAAGGCTCCGCCAGGACCACGGGCACAGGTGGTTTAATCCTCCCACCTGAGCCTGAGGATTTCCGAAGGCATGCCTGGTTGAGTCATCATCTGACCCCTGAAACATCCTGTCCACTCACAACCTCCAAAGAGCGTATGAGGGTGGATAAGCTGCCCCCACCCTGTGTGTTCTGGGGGAAACCTTGGGCTTACTAAAGGGATGGCCCTGCCAGTCACCCACCAACTGAACAGCAGCTGCGAACCTACCCCAAAGGGAGGCTGCCCATGAGGCTGGGGGTTGGAGGGTGAGATCAGCCCCACTGATCCTGTAACTCTGATTCAGGGCATCCTCAAGCTCCAGGATCCCATCGATCACGTGTGGGTCATGGAAGGATGGTGTCAGAACTCAGACTGACCAGGACACATCCTTACCAAGCAGGAACTAAAGGGACAGGTTGGGTGACGAGAGAAACTAGACAGTCCTCCAGTCCCCAAGAACATGAACAAAAGAAGAGTGAGGGCCACAGGGAGAACACTGTCCGCCTGGATCTTGAGGGTCTCAGGAAGGTACAGGGCTGGGACCCAAAGTGAGGGCTCCATCCAGAGACGTAGGCCTTGCGGAATCTGCAGGTACCTGTGTCCAGCCAGCTGGGCTGTGGGCTGAGGGCTCTCCCTGACATTGAGGGCCAAGCTCTGTCTGTCAAATAAATGCCTGCCTTCTGCCTTCACTAAGGGAGCCCTGACACCAGGTGGGAGAGGGCCAAGGACCCTCATTCTGCCCTAGGATCACCCCAGATGCCTTTCCTAAGCCTCCCCGCAAAGGCCTGCCTTGACATTATTTTATTCCTGAGAGATTCATGATTTGGGTTCATTTTATTCTCAAACCATTTTCTCTTCTGTGCCTTCTTGCAATGGGCAATTGTCAATGTCTTCATCATGTTTCTTACAAACTGTACGCCCCATCTCCAAGTCCATTAAATATATCAACGTCCATCTCTGTCAAGAAGAAATTGGAATGAGAAAAACAAAGAGAATCAAATAGAAAAGTTGCCAGAAGAGGTGAATGCTAATATTCATGCAAATAAAGATATACATATCCTGTGCAATCTTTCTTCTCTTATTTTTTATTTCAAGTTTCTTGTTTCAAATTTTTCTCTTAATTCTCCATTTTTTTTTTTTTTACAAAAACAGATATTCATTCACTATACCTAAAGCATGCACTAGAGTCTTTCCTGTAGAACTCTTCTTGATGTCTAATACCTAGCAGTCATATTGACAGGACAATGAATACACAGGGTGTGGACCATCACATGATTGAATCCTACACAGCAGTACAGGCAGTGTAAACAGAATGGCACTATCCCTTGGGAGATAGATCTAGATGGTAACCTGGGGTGGGGAGTCCTGGGGGCTGCAGTGTTGTGTCCTTTATGTGAGTGAAGACCGCACAAAAGTACTTGAGAATATTAATTGAAATAAATATTAAGGTTGTTTTTCAGTATGTTTATTAGGGTGCTATAAAAAGTTATTAAAAGTTATAGTCATTTCTGTAAATAGAGGTTCATAAAACTCGGGAAGCACCCAGAGAGAGAGAAATCAAATCCAACCAGGAAATCTTCCCAGGCTGGAGCTCACATCTCTCCTGAAAGTTGTCTAAAAAGTAGACATCCCTTGGGGATAGCAATCCATGCAGGTGACAATGATATCCACTCATGCCCCTACACACTCACACACTCATGCTCCAACACATCAACACACTCACACACACTCATGCCCCAACACACATGACCTACACACTCACACACTCATGCTCCAACACATCAACACACACACACACACTCATGCCCCAACACACATGACCTGCACACTCACACACTCATGCTCCAACACATCAACACACACACACTCATGCCCTAACATACACCAACTCACTCCCAGTCATGCCCCAACACACACTCATGCCCCAACACACACCAACAACACACACACTCATGTCCCAACACTCAACACACATGCACTCCTGCCCCAACACACACACACTCATGCCCCAACACACACCAACACACTCACACACACTCCTGCCCCAACACACACGCACTCATGCCCCAACGCACACCAACACACACACTCATGCCCCAAAACCCAACACACACACACTCATGCCTCAACACACACCAACACAGATACCCACGCTCTGACACTAACACGCTCACATGCTCATGCCCAACAAACACCAACTGCACAGTCACACACACACTCATGTCCCAATATACCAACACAAACACACTCTCATGCCCCAACACACCAACTACACACTCACATCTATGCCCTGACACACACCAACACACACACTCATGCCCAACACAAGCCAACACACGCTTGCACCCATGCCCTGTTTGCAGGGGCTACCCTCATTAAGGAAGTAAAATAGAAAGCTGGAGCTCTCCTAATGATACCTTGTATTTAAATTATATGCATATTTTCTGAATTTGGAATGCCATTGCTCTTTCCTGCAGACCAAGGATCCACCCAGCCCTGGCCTGGCGCCGGGGAATTCACGGTTCATGGGGAGAGACAGCAGCTGCTCACCTTGTGCTGGCTCCGGCGTACCTGCAGAAACTTGTAGGCAAACTCGTCTTCCTGGTCCTCATTGAACTGAAACACAGCATACTCCACAGCACTGGCGAAATCCTTCGAGTTCTTATCAATGTCTACAAATTTGCAGCTGCAGACATGGGTTCTCAGCACGATGAGCCCCACAAGCAGGGGCACCTTCCACTGCATAGCTGTCTCCAGAGTTGGCACTGGAGGCCAACTCAGTGGAGGAGGAGGTGGCCACCACCGCTGGTGACACCTTTCCCAGCTCTGACCCCACGTAGCACTGCCTAACAGAGGCGCTGAGCTGCTGAGCCTCCCTTTGACTAGTACTTCTGTCCAGTGCCTCTTTCCACTCCCCCACAGCGTTCTTCCCACTATCTCCAAACTGAAGGCCAGCAGAAGGTCACATAGCCTTGGACCCACAGGCATGTATGCTACACACAAGCCTGCACATTTTCAGGGCTTCCTCTTCTGGCCCTGGTCCAGCCCTGATAAGACTGGGGAGGAGCTCTCAAGCCCACCTGCCTTGCCTTCACGGGGCTGCATCCCAGGACTGGCAGAGTGATGGGAACGCTTAGGAATAATAATGGGCACTGAGTCCTGAGCAGTTAAGGGAAGAGCCATGTCTGCCTGTGACCCTGGCTGCAGTCCATGACCTCAGGGAGCCTCGGGAGGGTACAGGGGGGAGGGGCCAGCTTTGGGGGCCGGGATCATCCTCTCCACCCTCTCTGGCACCTGCTAGCCAACTTGCCACATCCCCCTCCTGCTCTGTGGCCTTGCAATACCTGCTCTCAGCACAGGGGCCAGAAAGAAGCCAAATACAAGGCTAGAGCCCTGCTAGGATGGGTGTGGAAGGCAACCACAAACATGAGAAGGGACCAGGGGCTGGGAGAAGCCGTGGGAGCACTGGCCAATGTGTGTTCTCACCCAGCACTGCCTCTTTGTAGTTCCCTGGGCCCGCACCAAGCCACCGTGTCAGACTATCCTGAGGGGAACTGATCCGAGCTCTATTTGACTCCTGGGGAAGCCTCTGGGAGGTAAACAGGGCCAGGGGATGAGCAGGTTGGGAGGGTATGGCGGTGCCTGCACCACATATTAATGCACCAACATGCACAAGGGGGCCCATGCTGGAGCAACTGACCCTACCTTGGCTATGTGGTATGTAGATCGATGATCTCAAAAAATGTCTCAGAACTTGGGCCACTGCCTTGGGGACTGGTAGTAAGGGCAGGACTGGGGGTGGACACAGGAAGAGACGGGACTGTGGCCAGAATGATGAACACAATTATGACCACCTTCTTGCAGCTTCTCAATGGGAGGAGACACAGAGACTCAGGTGCACTTCCACACAGGACTGACCTGAAAGTGGCCAACCGTGGGGGCCTGAGGAGCACAGTGGCCCTGTCAGGTTGATCATGCTCAAAGTGTGCCTGAACCCCCATGTGTCCTCCTGCCGGAGAAGCTGCAGCTCCCAGTTCTTGCTCATCTTTGCCATTCCTGCCAGCAGGCTGATTAAAATGTCTCACTGTTGTCTTCTGAGGTTGGCAGGATCTGTCCTGAGGCCCCTCCTCACTGCTGGTGTGGGTTGTGATCGCTTTCTCCAATTCCAGCTCTCCCTTACCCAGGGTTAGATATTTTATTAGACCTTCAAAAAATTAACTGTTGGATTTCTTGATCCTTTTTGTCAGTCTTTGCTTTCTCTTTCACTCACCTATGCCTTTTTGCTAGGATTTTCTTCTTTCTTTTTCACCAGTTCAGTTTACACTTCTTTGATTCTTGACATTGAAAGGGAGGTCATCAGTTGCATCTTGTTCATTCTGTAGCATGTGCATTTTCAGATCTGGAGGTGACCCTCAAAGCATGGTATCGGCAGCATCCGATATGTTCTAGCATGTGCATTTCCAGATCTGGAGGCAACCCTCAGAGCATGGCATCAGCAGCATCCCATAAGTTTGCTACTCAGGTTTCAATTCCAGTGTTTTAAAAGTGCAGCCTAATCTGCACTGGGATTACTTCTTTAGTCCATGTGTTCTTTACAGGCGTGTAGCTGAATTTTCAAATATTTCTGTCCTTAATTTCTACCTAAATTTCACAGAGAACATATTCTATGTGATTGAAATTTATTAAGAATATGTTCAATTGTGATAAATATTCTATCAGGTGAAAAAAATGAATGTTCTCCAGTTGTTGGGTGATATTCTGTATAACAAAGATCAAATATGTTTAGTGAGCTCTTAAATTTCTTGAGCCTCTTCTGAGTTTTACTTGGTGGGTTCTGCAGTTCTTAAGAGAGGTGCCTGAAACGTTCCCATGAGGATGATGGGGCTGCTGGGTTTTCTTCTAGCCCTGCAATGTGTCTTTTTATATACTTTTAGGCTGTGTAAGAGTGGGCACCACAGATAGAACTGTTGCAAATTCAATAATTGAGCAAAACTGTGCCCTTAAGTTCCCAAAAGGCCATGTTTCTAATTCCATAAAATCGGAAGAGAGAGAGGCCACAGTCAGAATTGGTCATGCCTATTTTCACCATGGTGCCCAACTAGAGGCTCATGAGAATCATCAGAGGAAACTTCCAAATAACCCAGCATCTAAGCCCAAATGTTAAAGAGTGTGGCATGAACACTGAATGCCGCCTGGTGCACTTAAGTGCATCTGACCTCAAATCATAACTTTAAATTGAAAAAGAGCGGGACACCAGGCCTTCCTTGTGAACTGGGAATTGAAGGTAAAGGTGCTTCCATCAGTGAGCAATGCTGACCAGAACCCACTGTGCTTGTCTAGAACAGTGGACATGAGGTCCATCAACAAGGGCTCCACCCCTTGCAGCCTGAGTGCTCTCAAAACCAAGGGTCAGCAATAGATTGGTTTCATTGACCACACAGACACACTCTTGGTGATATAAATATGTCCTGTCAAATTGTGAGGGGATGTTACAAATCCTGCACACAGGTGGATCAAAGGACCAAAGCTGCCTCATCTTTTTACCATGACAGATGGAGCTTCCCAGAGCTGTTTCTGAAAATTCTGTCCCATCAACCCTTATGGCAAATTCATGAGAATGAGCCAGACAGGAAAAACGCAGACTTCCTACCAAGAAATATTCAAATCAAAGTCCCCAAAACCTAGGATAGAGGAGCACTTCAGGTTTGAAAGACTCCCCAGAGGGCTTTGCATTGCCTTTCTGGCCCATCCATGTACCCCCTCCCCCCAGACCCTCATCTCTCTGCCCCTCCAAGGCTGCTCCCCTACCAAGACCCCAGCAGAGAAGCTTGCTCATCAGGATGGGTGTCTGTCACCACGGTGCCTCTCCCAGAGACAGTGAGTGGTGCCAACAGACATGAAGGCCAGGCTGAGTCCCAGCTGGGGAACCTATGCACCAGATGGGGCCTGGGGGACATGGGGACTGGAGCTGTCATCCTCTGAGCTGCCATCTGAACCCTAAAGAAGACATCCCTCAGTGTCCACAGAGGGCAGAGCCTCATGTCAGCTTCAGTGACCATCTCTGACCCCTGGGCCTGGGCTTGGCCCTTTTGCAGAAGAGCCACCCTCTGTAAGCCTGTTCCTGAGATGGAAACAGAAGGGTCATGTGTGGTTAACAAAATTGTCTGCATTCCTTTTGAGTAGATGGATGATGGCATAGAGAAATGGAAGAAAGAATGAATGAATGAGTGCATGAATAAATGAAGGAACAGATGGATGGATGGATGGATGGATGGATGGATACACCAACCAACTGGCAGAGGGATCCTACATGAACTGCCTCAAGTCAACTGGGGAGTTTTGTTTATTCAACACTCTGCACCTGCAGCCAAGGTAACAATGATAATGAATTCTCCCTTGCTTATCACTGCCAGCAACATTCGTGGCAAATAAATAATAGGAAAGAGTGCAAAACTGTTCACAGACCCAGAAGTAGTTAAGATGCCTTTAATTCTGCTAGTGCAGCATAGGCTTAGAACTACAAACTTTCATACTGTAGAGGAAGAGATGACTTCTGCTGCGAAAAATCAGGGGCTCTGCCACTACCTGTTTCCACATTACAGGTGATGTTTAGGAGGTTGAACTGGGAAAACCAAGGTCAGGCATCCATGACAAATGTGCAGTGCACCTGAAAACAAAATAAGTATAACATACAAATCAGAAAAATGTAATGCATCGAGAGCATTTAGCATGTAGTAGGGGGTCAAGATGTATTTAAAAACTACAAAAAATGAAAAACAAAAACAGTCACCCAGGAACGGGGCTTGAAATGCCCAAGCCTCCACCAGGACAAGGGGTGCAGGTGGCTGAATGCTCCCACCTGAGCCTGGGGATTCCTGAAAGCATGCCTGGTTGGGCCATCACCTGACCCCTGAAGCATCCTGTCCACTCACAATCTCCCTAGCACACATGATGCTGGATGAACAGCTCTCACCTTGTGTGTTCTGGGGGAGAGAATAGAATTCCCAAGGGATGATCCTTCTGGGTGCCCACCAACTGAGCACTGCAGTTGACAGCAAGGCTACAGATGGAAGGGCGAGACTAGCCCTGCTGCTCCTGTAACTGATTCAGGGCATCCTCAAGTTCTGAGCTCACATGGGTCATGGGAGGATGGTGACAGAACTCACATGGGAGGATGGTGACAGAACTCAGACTGACTAGGACACATCCTTACAACACAGGAACTAGAGGGACAGGTTGAGAGACCAGAGAAACTAGACAGTCCTCCAATCCCCAAGAACAAAAGAAGAGTGAGGACTGCAGGGAGAACATCATCTGCCTGGATCTCGAGGGTCTCAGGAAGGTACAGGGCTGGGAAGCAAAGCGAGAGCTTCATCCGGGGACAGAGGCCATGTAGAATCTGCAGGTGCCTGCTATGTCCAGCCAGCCGTGCTGTAGGCAGAGGGCTCTCCCTGGCACTGAGGCCAGGCTCTGTCTGCTTACATGCCAGCCTTCTGCCTTCACTGAGGGAGCCCTGACACCAGGTGGGAGAGGGCCAGGGACCCTCATTCTGCCCCAGGATCACCTCTGATGGCCTTTCTAAGCCTCCTCGCAAAGGTCCACCTTGATATTATTATCCATTCCTGAGAGATTCATGATGCTTTGGGGTTGATTTTATTCTCAGACCTTTTTCTCTCCTGAGCCTTCTTGCAATGGTCAATGTCAATGTCTTCATCATAGTTTTTACAAATTGTGAGGCCCATCTCCAAGTCTGTTAAAAATATCATTATCCACGTTTGTCAAGGAGAAATTATACAAACAGTTGCTAAGTATTTTCTTTTCATGAATTTTTAAAAAAGGCAGAGAAACAAGTAGGAAAGTGGATAAAAGGTTGTCATGTGCGTGTCGTATAAATAGGGCTAGACAGGGCCATGTACAATCTCTCTGCAGGTCAATAGAAGAGAGTCCACTAAGTGCACTTCAGATACACACTGGAATATTCCCAATAGCTAATGCTTGACAGT